CTTCCCACAGCGGAGACTGGGGCTGGACAGAAACTGGGGCTTCTCCTTGAGTTCTTAATATTCCTTACATCTCATATCCAATCAAGTGCCAGGTTTTGTTAATTCCTCTTCCATACCTTGCCTTGCAAGACTTTATATGATCTAGTCCCTGACCATATATACCTCAGTTGCACAATCTACCAGTGTTTCTCAAAGTTGCCCTTCAGGCTCGTAACTCCCAGCCCTTGAACTCACTTTTTCATCTAACTGGAACTCTGTTTTTCCACATATTCTAATGAATTGCTGCCCTTTCCCCTTTTCTCTGCTCAAATGCAACAGCAGTTCCATTTTTCTCTATTTCTTTATTCTGAATTACTTTTCTTCATGAAAAAACTGTTCATCATAGCAATGACTAACAATCAAAACCAGTATTAAACTTGTTTAATCAGTGATTGATTACAAAAGTGCACACATGTGTGAACAAAATTCAGTAACATTCCCTGCAATCTACTTTTGAAAAATCAGGTAATCAACCACAGCTTTAGTCCAGTGAACATTTCTGAGAGTCAGCCAGTCAGAAACAGTCTTACTCTGGGAAACACGTTTCTATAGCTAAAGTTAACACTCTAGCTTCTATGCTTCACACTTTTCCAAAACCTTGTGCAAGCTTTCTCCTTTGCTTGTAAACTATGTCTTATAAGCTCAGCACTCCCTTGCCTGAGCAAGCAATAAATTCAACTTACTGTTTTATATATTGAGTGATGAACTCTATCAGTATTTATGATCACCTATGATTATGTGATATTTTTTTGTTATCTGTTGGTTTATTGCTCATCTGTATTAGAACATGAGCTCCAAGAGGGCAGGCACACTGTTGCCTTCTTCACTGCTGGAATTTCATGCTGACATAGATGCCTAGTACATAATAACAACATCATAAATATTTGTTGAATGCATCTTTAGAGTAGGAATAATTGCCACTTAGCATAATATCTCCCCTGCTTAATATGCGCTTAATATATAAAAGGAATTCTGTAAAATATTAGTTAAATAAGTGAATGAATATGTTCATTGATCATGCATGTTTTAAAATATTTTTTAGAGATGTCCTTGAAGTTAACCAATGATTATTCAGATCTCTGTGGGTCCATATATATGTCATATATACTCACCTCTCTTCAGAAATACACTAGCTGAAAAGACGCCTACCTGTCTATTTGACATCTCCTTTTGGAAAACTTATGAATTACAAAATCGGTATGTTTAAAACTGATTCCATGCTCTTTATCTCCAGACCAGCCTCTTCTAATTTCCTCTCTGTCAGTAAATGGTGTAGGTTAGAAATTCCTTCTTCCTCAAATCTTCAATTTCAACCCAACATCAAGTAATGGTGATTTTACCCCCTAAATTTATCTTGAATTTGCTCACTTCTCTCCCTTTATGTGAGTGCCACAAGTTTGGGCTACCAATAGCTGTCACCTAAACTACTTAGTAACCTGCTAATTGGTCCATGAGCATCCTTTCCTGCACTCTTCCCAATCTAATCTTTAATCAGTTAACTCTTTTTTTTTAAAGATTTTATTTATTTATTTGACAGAGAGAGACACAGCAAGAGAGGGAACACAAGCAGGGGGAGTGGGAGAGGGAGAAGCAGGCTTCCTGCCGAGCAGGGAGCCCGATATGGGACTCAATCCCAGGACCCTGGGATCACAACCTGAGCCGAAGGCAGATGCTTAACGACTGAGCCATCCAGGCGCCCAGTTAACTCTTTTCTTATGAACTTTCATCAGATGCTTTGCTGATGAGACTGAGTCTAGAATCTTTAACATGGCCTTCAGGCCCTATTCATCCTCATCTTGTACCATATTCCACCCCACTGTCTAAACTTTAGTCACTGTCCTTCTTCAAGTCACATGAGATTGTCATGTCCTCCTCCATCACAGAACTTTTGTGCATGTTAGCACCTAAGCCAAACACATTCTTCCTTCTGACCCACTTATTCTTCGTATATTAAATCTACCATCATTCCCTCACAACCTGACCAAGTCATACCTCTGCCATACCTAGCACCTTGTCCATCTCCTGTAAACACTTGTGTTTGAAGTCTAACTTTTGTGTGTGCCATTATTGGATTAATGACAATCTCTTTTAACTATAAGTTCCACCAAAGGCATGGGTACCATATTTTTGGCATATGGGAGGGAGTCAGTAAATATTTATTAACTTAATGAAAGAGTGAAAGAGAGAAGGAAAGAAAAAGAAAAAGAAAGAAAGAGAGAGAGAAAGAGAGGGAGGGAGGGAGGAAAGGAGAGAGGGAGGAAGGAAGGAAGGAAGGAAGGAAGGAAGGAAGGAAGGAAGAAAGAAAGAAAGAAAGAAAGAAAGAAAGAAAGAAAGAAAGAAAGAAAGAAAGAAAGAAAGAAAGAAAGAAAGAAAGAAAGAGAAAAAGAAAAAGAAAAGGCATTTGAAGCTGGTCAAGTCTTTCCCAGTACATGTCAGAATAAACAGTGGGGAGCCTGTGTTCTGAGAGGGTAGTGGGGTCAAGAGAGGTAGTAAACCAGAAAACTGTGATGTACAGAGGGTCTTCCTCATTCTAGAGCTGCGTGCTTTTTACTGAAAATATTACTGAAGAGTGAAAGTCTTGCTAGTTGCTCATGGACTCATGTTTGGTGGGAAAGGAAGGAAAAAGTAGAGTACAAAAGACACGTAAAGATCAATTTCACCTTTAATGAGGAAGAGGGGATAGGATGGATCTTAATTTGTTGTAGTGTGCAATTCAGGAGCAAAGTAATACAACAGCTTTTTGTTTAATATAGCCAATTTTGAAATAAGCACTGTATTCTAAGAAGGATTTTTATCTTTGGGGAGTCTCCATTAGAAGTAGGCATTTTTAAACCATTTAAATACTTTTTTTTAGATCCAAATGTTTGTCATGTTAAAATGTAGTATTTATAAGTAGTGTTTTTCTCCCATTTTGCCCTACCATGAGAGTGTCAAATGCTGCTGTTGTGACATAAATTACAAAAATCAGTTTAGAAATAAAACATACAAGAAGATATGAAAGCAGATTCATCTTTAAGGAGAAAATTTGAGGAGGGGGAAAGATAGGGTGCCAGGCAGTCTTCCACATACTGCCTGATCTTCCTTTGTTTTTACTGCATTTTGTCCCCCACCAGGAATTCATATGAAGCATGGTGCCTGACATGTAATAAGCCCCCAGAAAATGCTAGCTATTTTTCTCCATTTTATTAGTTAATAAGCATCAGCTTTAAAAATGTCCCTTCCTTAGCTGGTTATGAATAAGTCACACACACATTAGTTAAAATAGATCAAGGGGAAGGAGAGGAAACACTGCAGTCCCCTCAACCGTCAGCACAGCTCTCCAAAGTAACACATGGGAAACCTGAGAAAGTTGAGAAAGACTATAGGACCAATGTACAGAGGCGTGGCTAGCACACAGCAGACTCAAGAAAATGTCTATCACACACAGGACAGCCGTTTGCTTCTGTGACCCTACTGTTCCAACACTCAGGTCATACCAGTGACGCTGAGAGAATGGATGGGACCGCCAGGAGAAAGTTTGGGTTTGGAAGCATGGTTATTTTTTGGTGTCAATGCTTAAACTATTCTGCTCCACCAGTCAATCTTTTATGGTTTGCTGCGGGATGCCAATGGAGGGGGCTCTCAGAAAAGGTGATTGTTTTCCTTTCCATCTTATATAACCTAGAACCCTGACCCCAGAACCCAGGACTAAATTGCTATTTGTGAGCTATCTTGGGAGCTTAACTGACACATACAGTGTTATTTCTAGATGAGAGATTCCTAATTCCAATTAATTTAGTAACAGATACTTGGAACACATTTCTGTTTCTAAGTGGGGGATTGCCTGGAGTTTCTCTGAACACCTTTATAAGTGGATAGAAATTTGGGTAGTCTTTATATAATTCTAAATTAGAGTCCAAATGGCTACATGGTGCTTTGCTTAAAACAAGTCTGTTTCCTCGTATCAGAAAGGGAAGAATTATCATCATTCCTAAAAAAGAAATTCTAAAAATTTCTTCTTGTGTGGACTTTGGAAATGAGTGGATAACTAGATGTAGTTATCTAGAAGACTCCAAAAACTTTAAAGTAGAAGGCATTAATTAATTGAGTTGACTGTATGCCCTGACTTCTGCATTTGCCTCATGTGTTAAGGTTTTGTTTGTTTTTGTTTGCTTATTTTTAAGTCCTAGAATTGTGAATTTTTCAGAGCCCTATGTCCCTTTCTTGACTGAACTCACTGTAAATAGATAAAGTTCCTGCTCTATATCACTGCTTTTACTAACTGAGAAGTCTATTTATATGCTTATTTAAATATCTGGGGTGCAGATGTATTTACAGCATACTTTGGTTTGTAAATATTAGCTTCCTTATGGAAATATTAGTTCCTTACCACTAGAACAAATTGATTTCATCTATCTTCCTCCTCATCTCTAAGCATATTATTTATCCAACTTTCAGCTTTTCTGATATAAACATGTCTCACTACAATAAGATTAATAAACAAAGTCAAAAGACTGCTTATGAAAAAATATTTTAGAAATCTAGTCCTTTTGATTAGTAACCAGCCTTAGTACCAGAAAAACTTCAAAGTGCTCTCTAAACATTGGATTTTCATCAGTGATGCTGCAAGCCTTAGTTCTCATCTTTCATGCTTACCCATGCAATAACTTCAAAAGGATTAAAAAGAAAGAATGACAATCTCTCAAAGCAGCCCTGTAATCTTGTCTTTAGCTATCATGCATTTATAACCAAATAATTGCTTCATTACATTATGCTTTAATAAATATAATAATTAACATTTGTTACCAAAAAAGCAAATATGCAAACCATTTAGAAATGAAATCCAGGGCCCATGGGATATCTAGAAGAAAATGGAAAAGAGTTAGACAGCGTCAAATATAGATATCTTCAAAGGGAAAGATATCACTTAAAGTTTTCTTTACTTACTGAAATATGTTCTTGCATATTTTATTGTTTTTGTTGTCTTGCTTATTATAATCCAGCCAGTGAATGTTCAAAGAACATAAAATCCTACAAATAAATAAAGTGAATATGAGTGCATTTACAAAAAGGCAACAATTAAGATCAGGAGTCTCACATGTAAGCTTTGATTATATCATGCAATTATGTTTCCCAGTGGCGTTCCAGCAACATACGATTTATCAGTAGGAGGAAAATCAAAAAGTTTTAAGCTTGGCAACACTTTCTAGTTTTCAGAATACAAGTTACTTGGAAATCTTATCCGAATCAGCAGGGTATCATCAGTCAAAATCCTGGGTGATCAAGACAGTGCAGACTTGGATTGCAGGGTATTGTGTCAGTGCAGGAAGTTGCAATAGACACTGATTTTTGAACAAGTATTTCATACATCACCATGGACTATGTGGTTAGTGACTAGGTATTCATCTCAGGAAGTACCGAAAACTATACCAGAGGGAACTTGAGAAGGGGTAGTTAGAGCTGTGGGTTGTGAAGTGGTAGCATCAAACCAGAGGAGACCAAACATTAGGTAGTACTTGTGAATTTTGCTGTTTGGATCAGTGAGTATTCTCATACCAGCAGCTTTCTGAAGGTCTCTCTCTCAGCACATGGTAACAAAATTTATTTTATTTAAAAAATAAAAACATAATTCTTCCTATCAAATTATATGTAGAAGTAAGTGATTTATCTTGGCAATACATGTGAGAAATTGTTTTAAAATCTATATTGCCCCCCCAAAAAAAGGAAAAAAAGAAATGGATGGGAGCATTAGATATTCTCAATGAGTATACTTCTCCCTGAGACAATGGAGTTAAAAAGTTATCTTTTCGATGACTGGGGTGTTATCTGGTCAGAGCTTCTCCAATTTATAGTGCATAGCAAATTGTTGACAGTACATTTTTACTGTCAGCCTGTTATGTAATATAAGTGGGTTTGGCAGATTAAAGATTATCTGTTTTTTAATATAAACATTAAGTACAGAGCTTAATCGGAAAGGCCAAATTAAGGTTTTGGGAAAAGAGCTGTGTGTGTGTGTGTGTGTGTGTGTGTGTGTGTGTGCGCGCGCGCGCGCGTGCGCGCGCGCGCGCGCAAGCTTGGAGGGATTGGTGTTGAAGTGCTGAATGATTAAAAATGGGAAAGGTGAGCAGGAAGTGGCAAAGTAAAAGCCCTGTCAAGTGGATAGAGGATAATATGGAGAATAAGGAATGGAAGAAATATTAGGTCATAGGCAAGATTGACTGGAATTGGTTAGATTTATAAATGCAAATGGGAATTGAGGGTAAGTGACTACTTAGTAAGTATAAAAACCTAGCAATCCAAATATACAAATTCTACCTCCTACCAATGATAGGGAACCAATAAGTTAAAATTCCTGGAAAAATATATATTCTATATCAAACCCTAAGTATCTTTCAGTAATGCCACTAGGGACTTATTTTTAGTTAATCTACTTCCCAAGTGTCTTTAGAACAAAATGAGTAGATAGAGCCATTTTTCCCCCACAGCAGCACACATTAATATAACCATAAGATTTAGGATCCTAAAACCCTGAAGAACAGCAAAATATAAGAGGAAGAATGTAGGTTTATTTTAAAATTCCATGACTTTTTTTCAGAGCATTGACAATGGTAAGCAATGAGGGAGATATTAGAGGAAAAATCAGGAAAAGGAGATGGCCAAACATTTGGCACAGGTGTTACTTGAATTCTGTTCTCCTATCACCAATCTCCACACCAAGAAGAAAATATTTTAATGGAATTATAAATTGGAAAAAAAAAGGACAAAGACATAGTATCTTTGTAATAATGGAAACTGATACATATTAACTCATTCCTGTGAATCCATGTATTCACGTTCATATTGGAAGGGCAAAACAACTGTACTGTTCACATTCTGAATGTCACTTAATTCATTGTTAAACAATGAAACAGTCCTGAACTTTACCCAGGATAAATAATGTGATATTTACATATTTTCCAGTGAAAGCGAAAATGAGCCAAAAATCTAAATTGAAATTGAAAGAGAAGGGTAACTAAGGCTTTGAAGAAATAATGAGTAGGATTTGACAGGGCAGCAATTCTTGAGGAAGAGGGTATGAAGGCCAGTGGAGAAGGACTGCCTATTAGAAATGCAGATTCCTAAATTCTGACTTCTGAAGAGTTGGTCCCAAACTAGCCTTCTATGCATAAACCTCGTTGAGGTAAACATGTTGCTGTGCAAAACGAGATTGGCTCCATAGTAATTAACAAGAGAAGGGAAATAAATCACTCATACTCTTTAAGACCACACTTACAAAGAGAAAACAAGCACCAATCATCGCTGCTTTGACCGTCACATCTAGATCTGCAGGAACATGAATTCCGAAGTTGTCAGCATTGGTAAAGACATCATTTACAAATCCTGACCAGTACTTCGAAATCTTCCCAATTGTAAGCTTTTCATTAATGGTCTTCACCTTTGAAAAGAAAATAAGAGATGTTAAATCTAAACGTGAAACAAATGGTATCTTAGCATGTTTCCTTCAAGAGAGAGATGAATTATTTTATTCATCATCTGTGACAATTCCATGTCATTCATTCCTTTATATAAGCATAAGTTTGTAGATTTAACTTTACAGTTCACTCTTCAGGAATTTTGCTTTCCAGACAGTTGTCTAATTTATCCTAAGTCCTTTTTTTTTGCTTTTTGTATGCAGATTGAGAATATAATAGCAATAAATAATTAAGGTCAGGCTACCACAAGATGGCAGCAGGTACATAGTCTCAATTACACGGTCTAACCTTGAAGGTAATTCTATTACCTGAGGTCCAGATTTCAAACCTGAATTCTTCAATTAAAAAAAAAGAAAAGAAAAAAATATTTTTGATAAAGGTTTTAGATAAGATTTTCTAGAAGAAATTTCTAGATATAATTTGTAAACTTTTAAATTTTTATTGCTAAGATTTTATAATTACTAACATACTTAAATATCATCAGCCATTGCTTAATCTGATTTTTATATTATACTATATATATATTTACTAGGTAATTGCTTTATAACTAACCGGAAGTCCTATTTTTCACTAAAAAAATTCTCTGGGCAAATATGTCACACAGGAAATGCAAACTAATTTGACATCAAAAATCTATAGTCCTCAGCTAGAAGGAGTCTACAATTAAACTTTATTAACTATTTTGCTTGCCCTGTTTCTCATTCAAAGGCTGAAAGTGATTCAATATAAACTTTCACTTTCTGTATGGCGGGAGAAGATAGAAAATAGAGAAAGTTACTTAGGACATCCGTTACTACAAATACTAAAACTTTTTTTCTTTTTTTTTTTAAAGATTTTATTTATTCATGAGAGAGAGAGAGGGTGAGAGCGAGAGAGAGCACGAGCATGGGCACGGCAGAGGGAGAGAGGGGCTCAGGCTCAATGTGGGGCTTGATCCCAGGACCCTGGGATCAGGGCCTGAGCAGAAGGTAGATGCTCGACTGACTGAGCCACCCATGCATCCCAGTACTAAAATTTTTAAGTCTTAATCATAGGGCATATTTTTATCCTTTAGTTTTGTTTTTTTTTTTAATTTGAGAGAGAGAGCAGGGGAGGGGCAGAGGGAAAGGGAGAGGGACAAACAGACTCCCCACTGAATGAGGAAACTATCCTTTAGTCTTAGGAAAGTCATGCCAAGTCCTTTTAGAGTGGACTGGAGTTAGAACAGCTCACTTCGCAAAATTTACATCATATTCTGGATGAACAGTGTTCCCCGAAGTCCCTCAGACTGAATGTCCTAGGTGGGATATACATGAATGTATAAAGAATGAAGGAAAGAATAACAAGTATACACTTTAAATTCGATCTGCTTTGCCTACAATGTATTTCTAGGAAAGGCAGTTAAGATAGTTCATATTCTTACAATTGAATTTGCAACTTCCTATTGTTTTTTAACATTGAATTTACACAAATATGTTTATGTAAGTGTAGATTATTTTACAAAATGAAGTTAGCAGGTCTTCTGGTCATAGGTTCTAAATTAGTGATATTTTAATGGAATGTGCTTTTTAGATGAGATCTGGACTGCGATATGTAACCACCAGAGCTACAGGAAAGAAGATATAATTTAGGGTGATTCTAAACTATATGTATTTGCTTTGTACCATGGGTGCTGTAATTCCACATAAATCAAAAAAGTTTTAGCATGTTTTTTAAAAAAAGTCTTGAACTTAGTATCACTGAAATTATGAGTTATTATTGGCATGTACAATATGGACTTATTACATTATTTCACAAGTATATTATCTTCTAAATTTATTTCAGAGATACTTCAGGATTTGAATATCTTAAAATTGAATTGTGTTGCAAAAAATCAGGACCTAAGTGAAACCTTCCTTCATTCTGTCAACCATACCTCAAAATCCACATCGCCAAAACAGCCACATGTTGCACAAGGACCAACAACTTTCAAAATATCTTCTTTGTTTGCATTTTGGATTGTGAATTTAGGCAGAAAGGGGTCCCACTTCTGTGCAACATAACCAACTATAGTACCAGGAGGGGCTTGGATTTCTAACTGTAAGAAGAGACAATAATAAAATAAGATTTTTTTCCCAAGGTTATTGTATTTTTATTTTACAACAATGTCAATTTATTCTAAACAGTAACTTTTATGAAATTATTTTTGTATTCTACAAAATATTCTAAATCTCTGCTACAAGGAAACAGCAGTGGATTTTTTTCCCCATTATTTTATAGAAACAAAGAAATTCACTGTATAGATATGTTTGGCATTATTCACTAAAGGTCCATGTCTTTAATCTTACTTCCCTGAAGACAACCTATCCCAGAATTGTCTTCTGACCGTGGGACGCTGGCTTCTTTGCCATTTTTGTTCCTAGCATGGCAGTTGGTCAAGCACTGAAGCTGTTTCCCATGAGGTATTTCCAATCTACTCCCTCTCCTGTGTTGCCACAACACACATCTATTTTTATCCCTCACTTACCAATTATTAGCTATTCATGATTGTTTTCCCTTCAGGCTGTCAACTTCTAGCTTCTCTGTGTTCAATTAAAAACAAATGCTTCTTTGTGAAGGTACCATTTTACATACCAATTTGATTTCTGTTTAACTTTTTCCAAAGCATTATAGACTAGCAATTGCATTTTCAGGCTTTACTTTAGTATTTTACCCATTACCTTCATTTCTTTAATTTCTTTATTTTTCATCATATTGTATTTCAACATATTTATGTAGTCAAATCAAATCCGTTGTGAAATAAACTAGAGGTGGGTAAAAATAATGAAAATTGTTTGCTTTTAAATCAAACCAACTCCTATAATCTGTTTACCTTTTGTCTTTTTTTAATTTATTAAGTTCATAGTCTTATGTGTATATCTGTAGTGTTCTTGGATCAACAGAGGTGGTTTCAATGAGAGTGCTTAGAATTATGTAGATCTGACTGGTTAAATCACTAAGTTGTACAGCTGAAAGTAATGTAACTTTGTGTGTCAACTATACTTAAATTAAAAAAAACACTAAAAAGAAAGAATTATATAGATTTGTCCTGGGATCACTTTTTAAATAACTGGTTTGATTTTGACCAAATTTTTAAAAATTATTAACAGGTTTCAAGATACATCTTACTTTTCATTTATGTGACATTGGGCTACTATGAAATAAAACATTAATTATCAGAAACTTTCAAATAGATATATTATACTGACTATACCATCTTAGAGCATATTAGATCTTTTTTTAAAGATTTATTTATTTATTTATTTGAAAGAGAGAGAATGAGAGAGAGAGAAAGAGCGCACATGAGAGGGGAGAGGGTCAGAGGGAGAAGCAGACTCCCTGCTGAGCAGGGAGCCTGATGCAGGACTCGGTCCAAGGACTCCAGGATCATGACCTGAGCCGAAGGCAGTAGCTTAACCAACTGAGCCATATTAGATCTTAAATATCCTCAGTAAGAGGATGAAGATTCTTGGACTCCATGTTTGAGTACCTGCTCCATTTTATCATTTAGCCAGGCAACTGCCTATAGTTGGAGAATTAGCTTCAATATATATTGCTAGAAACTTCCTCAATTAACCCCCATCCATATTAATATTTCTCATCATGCCAAGTAGAGTACTTAAACATAGGTCCTCAATAGAGAAACCATTTTTTTTCTTTTTTTGAGAAACTGGGGTTTGAATAAGGACAGTGGATCAAGTCCCATTCATAATATTTTGTGGATGTATAAATTACCTCCAATCCCTAAAGCCCCAGTTTTCTCAATTGCTAAGTGTGGAGAGTAAAACCTATTCTCTCTAGCTCATACAGATGTTATGATATCAAAGATGTTAAAGTAAACGTTCCGTATCGACTTAACTGCATTATGTCAACGAAAGTTATTATTGTAGTTCTATTATATAATGACGAAAATCTATTATATATTAAAATAATTAAATGACTCCCTTCAGAACAATAACGCAGTCTTTGTCACAGTTTGAAGTTTGCCATAAATGGATGAATGGGATGTGAGATTCTGTACTAAAAATAATACCTAACCAAGAGAACACCTTGAAAAAGTCTAGTATTACTCAGCATTTTTTGAACTTTGCTACAGTTAGAGAATGCAAAGGGTAGATTTGCTTAATGGCGGATCTCAGAGATATTACAATTAGGTGCCTAATACAGAGATTCAAGAGGATGTGCCCTATTTACAAGACACATTAGCTGTCTTTACCCATTCACGGAAGCCACTGTAGTTTTTGGTTGGAAAGAAGAAAAAAACAAAAACAATAAGCTAGTGAATCACCAAGTCCTTAAGCTATTCTGATCCTAAAGGAGCAAGAAGCAAATTACTAATTCAAACAATCGAAAGGTGAATTGCCTTATGGCTCCAGATGAATGCCATTTATTAAATAATTGCTAATCTTTTCAAACATAGAAAAATAAAAGTACACGCACAGCCAATGACTAACCTCTTGAAGGTAGAAAGGGAACCAGCAGCTGTTACACCTCAGAGGCCTGTTTACTGTAATCACCTCCCGACCTGAGTTATCTGTGATCTTCAGAGTGCAAGATCGCAGCGTGGAACAGAAGGTACGATTGAAGCAGATGCTTTCCTCCGCTGCAAAGTAAATTCTTTGCCCCAGGCTGTTTTTAATCTCATATTTGTTGGCGGTCTCAGTGCCAAGGATCACTAAGGGAAGAAAAAAAAATCATCAAAACAATACTATTGCCTAGAATCAAATCTTTAAATAAGTAAAAGGGGTAGTATTATTAAAAGAAAACAGAATCACTGACTAATAAGTATATGGTATCTTCTTCACCCAAATCTACTTCCATGCTCTAAAATTTGAGGACTTAGCTATGGAAATCAAAGTACCGAGAACAAAGCTGTGCAAGGACTAAATTTTGATTTCAGATATATGACCTACTTGGAACATGTAGTTCCACTTTTCAACTGAAGAAACAAGTCTGTAAAGAATCAAATCCTCAAATAATCCTTCTATCATTGCTGTGGAATTTATTGGAACAACTCACAGCATAGTAATGGTTTTGTTTAAGATCTATTTAACAGTGTATCTACAGCTGCATGCTATCTTGCTATCTGTTTATTACAACTTTGACATATTTTAGATATAATATAGAATATTAAGGACAAAAAATACTCAAGTAATTTGAATTCAGTTAATCATTGTTGTAAATCTGTGTATTATTAAATAACAAGCCATTTGATGAATCACCAATTCAATGATAAAACAAAAAATTGTGTTCGAGGGGTTTCTGGTATTTATTTATTTATTTTTGGTTTTGTCTCAAGTTTTTATTTAAATTCCAGTTAGTTAACATGCAGTGTAATATTAGTTTCAGGAGTAGAATGCGTTTTGTTCTTTAGTTTCAATCTTGATTTCCATTTCTGAAATCATTAAGGAAATGAATTACTAACAAGCATTGAAATGATCAAACATCTTTTATTATTTTAAGATAAAAATAATGTTAGATTCCTGACAACAATATTACCAAAGACTTGGAAAGTTTTATGCTTTTAGGTTTATCTATATCAGACTAACACTTTACTTTGAGTGTTTATTTTAAAAAGGAGACCTACTGATCTTTTTGATTTAATTTTATCCTCAACATTTAACTTTATTATGAGATATTTAAATATAACAAAATTTCTGAAGCCTAAAATATTTTTAACAGTTTTAATAAGTATAGAATATAATACACTTACTTCCAAGAAGCTCCACCTGCTGGTGTATAATTATCAGGTCTAACTGTTAAAGAATGACATAAAGGAAATAAAAAGCATTACATCACACTTTGAAAACCTTTGGAGGTATTACTATTAACCTGTTTAACACATTAAATTCGGTAATTTTCATGTTCTTTACCAGGAAATGGTTGAAAACAGCTCACATTTTATAATGAAAAAGATGATATCTTTTGTATTCAAGTAAAAATAAAAAAAAAAATACAAGAACCCTGAGAATTCCAAGGCAGAATTGCCCAGAATAAGATTAGGAACTGTGGTTAACTCTGTGTTTTTTCTGTGATAAAGGGATAAAAGAGTAACTCTTGGAAACAATACCTGAAGATTTTTAAAGAGTCTCTGAATAATAATGCCTAAAATTTTTTTAAACTCATTTTTTTAAGCAATGATCTGAATGCCTGGCCTCCCCTCTCCACCCTGCCTAACTTCTCTTTCACTCTCAACTCATTCCTCACAGAAATAAGATGTCTTTGTTAAAGCAGAGAGAGGTCATTCTGTAAATTGTTCTCACTCATACTTTCCTCTGGACTAGAAAAACAACAACAACAACAACAACAACAACCAGAAATCTTACTGGTACAAACGAAATGCCCATTTAAGCAGAATAAATTTTGCCACTAACAGCTGACATAATAAAATTTGCTTTATGTAATTAAAAATGAAGTTAGTTTACAGAGATAAAGTACTCATAGATAGTTAAGAAATGACTATATTAAAAAGTATACAATGCACATGTTTAAAGGAAATATTAAAATATGTTCTTTGAATGAATTTTATTTTTCACTAAGGTAAATTCATGAACGCTGAAGACCATTGTCTTCTCCAACACTTCATTTTCTCTTTTGCCTCTAAATTTCTTCACTTTATTCTCCCTTCACTTTAATAAACTCACTGGTGACCATTAAACTGAAATAGTCATTAGTAATATTTGGTATTGATTGGGCCTTACAAACCCGGAAAATTTGAAGTTATATTATTTCCTGCATTCTCCTTGTATATCCTGAGGTGCAGGTAAAACTGCTGGAATGGGATTTAAACCCAGATCTTATTGCTTGCCACCAATTTTGACATGCTTTCTACTCTGTTGTTGTATTGGCATCACTAAACTAATCTCAGGAACTGGGATAAACAATTCTTAATTGATACTGTGGAACTTCTGAGTACCTTTTTTTCCTAATTTCTCTAACCTTTTATACATCCCAACCTCTGTGATAGTATTTGATTTGATCTGTCTCTGTGGGAAACCATCCTGGATTTGAGGGTCTTGTTTTGATCTTGCAATTTCCTTTAAGTAGTCCTGGGCCACTTATAAACTATGGTCCTAATAAGCCCTTTCCACGCTTTGCTATTAAATGATGGGCTAGGAATTGTTGGAAACTTTAGACAGATTGAATCATATATTCAGGTATCAGGGCAAGTAAAGCACTGAAGTGTGAAAGCCATAGAGTGGAAATCTAATGACAGCCTTGGATATACAGCTTAAGAATAAATTCTCATATATAATTTATTAAGTTTACAGGTATCAGTGATTCCATTTAATATATGTACTTCAAAATAAATTAGATCTATACATGTGTCTTTGTAGACTTTAACTCACTACTCCTACCTCTATGTGACTAAATTATAATAATTGTCCTTTGACACTAGTAAGATAAAATGATATTGACTATTATGAACATGTTAATCCAGAGAGAGATCTCTAGTTTATTCTTAGGTTTAGCTCTACATGAATGACTTAAATACACACACACATATACATCCATATATATGTATATATATATATTGCATACACATATACATATATGCACATGTACACAAATACATATGTACGTGTGTATATATGTATTTATATGTTTATATACATACCTGAAAATTTATTTTCAAATTGTTAATAGAAATAAGATTTTCATTAGTCATTGGATGGACTTGATTAAAGGAGAATAGATGAGTTTTTATATTTGTACTTTGATTTTTTTAACTTAGAAGGATTTTGTATATTTTGTATATTTTCCTATTTATTGAAAAATGTACTATTTTCAAATGCTCATGATTTTATTTAATTCTTATGGTTTTTAGATAAAATTTAACACATAAAATTAATTATATATATATATCTTACAGACTTGTGGTATAAAACATTTAAAATGCTCATTTATCCTGTTGTAAGTACACTGCTTTAAAGCAAGGAAGTGTTCTTTTAGTGTAAGGTGAATAAACTACCTTTCCCTTTGAAGTATACTATTCACCGATTTGTGGCATATTTTTATTTTCTGAAAAAGATTACCAAAGGTATTATGTCTGGAAAATTGACTTCATTTTAGAACTGAAGCCAATGAGTTCATATCTCTATTTATGGAATGTAAAAAAAAAAATTCATGTCAAGCATCTGGCTCCGGGTGTGTCATCATTCATGGATGGAAGAAGAATATGTGATGACCATATGTGATCATCAAACCTCAGCCCTCTGGCACTGGTATATCACTTTTATACTTGGCAAAACCTTGTCTGACAACATTCCCAAACAGCTTGCAGCAGTTAATCAACTCTAGTCAGCTATTACAGCTGATCCTTTCTGCAGATGGAAGATGGTAGGTTAGCTTTTCCAGCTCTTTTACATATCTCCCTGAGCTCTCCAGTCTCTGAAGTACATTTGTCTGCCAATGGGTTTCTGGAGAAGGCATCTGCAATTATAAACATTTTCCCAGGAACATATGCTGCATGCAGCTTAAACCCTATCAGGCATAACAGAAATCTCTTGTACCTTAAGGGAATTAACACAGAGATTTGATTTTGATAAAGGAGATAGACTTTATAGTTTGAAAGAATGCCAAACAAGCTGAAAATAGCAGCAGATGTGCTGACATCTCAATATTAGCATATTTCCAATCTTTTGCAGGATAAAATCCAAAAGCAACAATAATATATATAAATATAATTGCTTTTTATGTGCCACATAATTCAGATGATGGTATTTCTTGATTGATTTATTATAAGGCTTGAATCACTGCTCACCCTCCAATGATTATATCTAATAATAATATGATCTTTTAGGCAAATCAGCCTGGAGATGCAACGGTATCAAAGACAATGATGTTAACTTGGTAACTTGCTTTCCCTTGGATTTATAGACACCTTTTGAGATTCAGTTGAAGACACTGAACTCTCAGATCATTACGGAAGTCTCTCCTGAGTTCTTAGATCCTTAACAACATTTCTCTCTTCTACGCACCTGCACACATTACAACTGTGTGTCTGGCTTTAGTACATAGCTTTGCACTTTTTGTCAACATTTTTGCAGGCCATTTAGGTTGCAGAATGTTTGGGTGAGAAGGACTAGGTTTTATGCTTTTTATATGTCTTGATGATAGCAAGTACTCAATAAATATCCTTTAATTAAATAGCTGTAGGTGACTAGACATGTCAGACAATTCCTTGAGGATACATTTGCTTATACCTTGAGCAATGAGCAGAAGGAGGATAAATGTGCTAAAGAGCTCCATCAAAAATGTTTAGTGTCATCACTCTGCCAAATAAATAAGGAAAATAGAAGTGGGAATAAAAGAGAATAAATTTCTTTCCAAATAATAGAGATAATTTTTTTCATAATTTCATGATTTATACTGCTTTTCTCACTTCAATAAGTGATTTGTTGAAGTTCTTCAACTGTGGTTGAAAAGCAAGAAACCAAGTCTGTATTCATTTTAAGGGGTGAAAGTGTGTAGAAATAAAGAGATAAAAACACCTGGCTTAAATATTCTAGACCAGGAGGGAGACTGCCTGGCGGAGGGAGAGTTGGCTGCCACACTTGGTTCCCTGGGTTGGGAAGTGAGACGTGAAAGCTGTGGTCAGGGTCTGGAGCTCCAGGAAGAAAGCCAGGCAAACCTCTACTTCTTTGGTTCTGTGCATCTGCAAGAGAATGAAAACCTCAGCCTATATTTAAATTTAGGCCATTTCACTGAGTTTTTCTCATAGTATTTGTTACTTCTGAATTCAGAGGGTCAACGGTTTCCTTCATCTTCCCTATTCACTGTTGCCATCACTTACCCCCTAAGCCAGAGAAAAAGGAATGCAGAAGACAGCTAATAGTAGTTGTGAGAAAATGTTGGATAATTTGGGCAAAATAAATGATTCCAAAAATATATTTTTGAAAGCAAGTTAAACTGTTTAAAGAGCTGAAAAATTATAAACTCTAAAAGAAAAAGAAATGGTAAAAAGAACTAGATATTCTTTACTCATAAAAGGATAAACTTAGACATCAGTTTTGAATCATAATTATCAGTTTCAAGGCATATTCTCCCTTCCTCAAATATTATGAGGGTACCTTGTAATTTCTGAGAATATTTTGTCTCTTTTTATCAATCCTACTGCTATGGCTAGGTTTAATTCAGGGCTCCTTACTGTTTAGGCTCTACCAGACCACCTGCAAGGCTTGTTAAAACACACATTCCTGGGCTCCACTCCAGAGTTTCTGCTTAAGGAGTTGGGGCAGGAGTGAGGCTTGAGAATTTGCATTTCTATTAAGTTCCCAGATGAGCTAATGCTGCTGTTCTGACCATATACTTTGAGAGCTAATGGGTTAATTCTACATACTATGAGAATATTCAAGCTAATTTATGAGCTTAAGGGCAGTATAATATCTAATGAAGCTTTGATTTCTCAGTATTTTGTATAAAAGCATCTAAACATTTTTGACAGTGTGAATCCTTTTGTAGCTTACTTAATATTACAAAAGATAAAATAATTACAGAATTCTATAATGTTTGGCTTTGATTTTTTTTTTTTAGAGACTCACCTGTTTTCTATATTATTGCCAGGTAAAACTGTTACTATTCCAATTATCTGTTAAAGTGTAGATATTTGCTATATATCCTGCATTGGTCAAGGAACCCATGTAGTATTATGCATAAGATGTAATAATGTGTGGAACAATCTCATTTTTTAAAAAATTATAAATTACTGCCTTTCTACTATCATTTTTTCCTTTTTCTTTTCACATGATTGCCATTTAGATTTCTCCCTCATTAGATACCATTTTTTTCCAAAGCCCATCAGAGTTTTTATTCCTCATCTTTATTAACCCATAAATTATTGGAGTTCTCACATTTGCATTCATTTAGTTTGACAACACTATGCTGACCTAGATTGAGCATAGGTATGGATCGAGATTCATGACAGGTATTTTCAAATATTAGAGGGACCATTATGAAAACAAGTAATTCACACTATTCTAAAGACATATGAATGGGAAGGACAAGGAAAATGGTCTACTATAAGGAGAAGTTTATAACAGCGGCACAACGCAAATTTGAATAAGTACTCTTATTGTACATATACTAAAGTTGGAGTGACATCTATATAATTCACAGTAGATTAGAATGGTCTCTCAGTCTCTCCCGAATTCATGTAAGTTGTGTGTATGTAGGGGTGTATTTTTCAGAATTTTTAAATCTCTAAAACATAAATTTGAAGAAAGGACTGAGTTTCCTTTGGAGATAATAAATTCGCCCCTAGTAAGAGAATTCAAGCATAGCCTGAATGTTAAGAAGAAGTTGGTCCCAAATTTTTAGAGCCTAGCCTGAATGAGTTCTTGGAAAGGGATTAAACAAACAAACAAACAAACAAAACAAAACAAACTGGTGAAGGAACATGGGCATCCAAGGAATGGTCCTTTGAACACTGACATAAACTATTTGCACTAATAATTGGCTCTTTAAGTTTGTGTATACATGTAGTGTTAAGGAGAAACAATTGCCAGGTGATTCATTTGTTTATTTAAACTTCAGTTTGTAGGAATGGATGAAGATAGGTATTTAAGTTTGTATTGGTTTGTGACATTTAGAATTTGGACATGCTTTAGTGTTAGGACCATATGGAAACAAACTTGTCATTTGGCCTCATTAAAATAGAGCTCCATATAGAGGCACTTGGGTGGCTCAGTTGGTTCAGCTGCCGACTCTTCACTTCAGCTTGGGTCATGATCCCAGAGTCTTGGGATCAAGCCCCACGTTAGGGCTCTGTGCTCAATAGGGAGTCTGCTTCAGGATTTTCTCTCTCTCCTCCTGCCATCCCCTCGCTCTCTCTCTCTCTCAAATAAATAATTAAATCTTTAAATAAATAAATAAATAAATAAATAAATAAATAAATAAATAAATAAAATAAGATAGAGTTCCATACTAAGAATATTATAGCAGTTTGCTTCCCACAGGACCCATCCTGAACTTTTCAGATCTGGGCAGACAAAAGCATAGGGGCTCAAGTACTCCTCTTGCTTTGGAGAAGGTGGCCTAAATGAAACCTCCATTAGCAAACTGGAGAGGAAGACTGTGTAACACCATGTCTGATTTGGGAGAGGAGCTGATGACCAACACAGCAAGGTCAACTGGAAATAGTAACATGGAACAAACAATCCTTTCTTTAGCTTAGTGCCAAAAGCACTGTTGTCATCAGCTTTCAGAGAAAAATAGAGGCAAAATTATGATCTAGGGAAAACCAGTTCATAATGATAAAATTTAGGATAGAAGTTCATCCTGGGTGTGAAGTTGTATGACTGTTGACCAAAAAAGGGAACTTTATGAGGTGCCAGAAATGTTCTATATCGTAATTTTGTTGGTGGTTACACAAGTTCATCCTTGTTTTAAAATATCATGAACTTAAGTTTGGTGTTCTTTACGCACTTTACTGTATGCATGTTATCCTTCAATTAAAAAAAACACATATGGGGTCAATTTCTAATAATAGGTGGCAGAAGATAATTAGATTCTCTCTCGTCAATTTTATTGTTAGATTAGCAAATTACTCCAATTCTATCTTGTAAGCTATGTCTGCTGTGACAAAATGCAGATTATTGAGTGTCTTGGAAGTGGCTCTACATTCTGGACCCAGGTCTTTGGGTCCTGAGACCTCAAAGCAGGTCCAGAAGCAGTGACGCCCTGGGGGCCCAGGGCAGATCATGTCAAAAAGTCTGAGTAGAGTCTCAGCAGGAAACTCTTGAAATCACCATTGTGACATCACTTGCTTCCTTTTCTGAGATTTCAGTTCATATTGGAGCAGCTTTTAAAGATAGTTTCTGTTCAGTTTAGGTCATCCTGGAAACTCCTGTCTTTCTCAAACTTAAAATTTGGGACCATCTTGTTCTTAAATTGTGTTTATTTATACTAAATCAGGGGACTCCAGACCACACAAGTATTTCTTCAGTTCTAATGACATCCAGTATTCACACTGTCCTTTGGTTTAGTGGTGCTGATTAAACTGCCCACAAAATGTGTGAAATATCCAATTACCCTGTATTCCCTGGAAAATAATAATTGCCAATACAGTTCACGGGCCAGAGAACTTTCACAATGTTATAAATATGTCCTGCAACATACTTGAAGAAAACTGTCTGCAAATATGTTTTAGGTAAATAATGATGATAATCTGACTTGCCCTCTCAAGCCAGATTTCTGATTCAAAAGGAAGGTTCATTTTTCATTTCCTTTAAATGGGGTCTCTAACAGATATTTTGCCCACTTCATGTGCTAAATAATTTGAGTAGGTTTCAGGAGTATTAGTTTTCCACCTGAAGTTTTGCCTCTAAGTTTAGTGGTTGAGTCTTTAACATTACTGAACATCACTGCTTTTTTGGTAGATTAATCATATTTTGATCTTACTATTGCTTTCCAGTCACAAGTTTCTTCAAAGACTCAGACTACCAGATAAAGAAGGAACTCTTTTGAATTTCTATCTGGCTTTGAATTTCTATCTACTCTTTTAAAAATGTATAACTAGCTTATAAATATTTCATATAGTCTGCAACTCTTTACCTTACAGGCTATGGTTGTTGCTGTAACTCTTATAAAGTGATGAAGTGTTTTGTATTAAGTGTTGGTGTCAGTCTTAAATGAAAGAAAAGACTTGTCAAGATTTCTTTTGTTTGCTTTCAAATATAAAAAAATGAGGCACACATATATTAAAATTCATGATTTTGTTGTTTCATGTCTATAATTTACAATTTGTTTGAGCTTTCTCCATGATACTCAGGGACTGGTGCACATTAAATGTTGAATTGTTCCATATTAAATAGCATCCCAAAGTGTGTTTTGATAAAGAAAGCAAATAAGTATAGATGCTTCTTTGAATGCTTCATTAATTTAATTTAGGATATTTTAAATTGGTGGACTCTATTATCCTATTTGTAATTAGGTTAAAAGGTTTCTGCCAATTATACTAATCATAATTCTTCATGCTAAAACTTTTTATTATAGGCTAGAGTTTAATGGTTTGTTTTGATAATGGAATGAAATATTATAATCTCATTTTTAATATAATTTCATAAGTGTTTTTAGTGAGATTGAAATTTATTACTTTCAAAAACAACCATATATCTTGTCTTTTGAGAAGTTATTTAAAGTAAGACAGTACTGATGATATTTATGCAGTTTTAGGAACTTGAGGGAAAAATTCCCAGCTCCCCCCCCAAACAAAGTCCCTAATTAATCTGCTTACTTAAATTAGTTATTTTCTGTTTGCTTTTATATATATAATTTACTATCAAAGAATTTTGGAAGATTTTTGTTTCATAATTCAGTAATATTTACTTCCATTAAATTTATTAGAATTTACCAATAACACATATTCAATTCTTTATAATAAATTGCTGTACCACACATTTTAAACAACAAATGGGAAATTTTAAAAATACTGAACTGTACTTTAACACTTTTTAACTTATGTGTGAAAAGATTTCTTCAAATCCCTTTAAACTTGGAATATCAACCTGTCCTTGTGTTTGGCATTAAATATTGCCCTCTTAAATTCTGCTGTGCAGCCTTTCTTATTAATTCACTATATTTATATTCATGATAACCAAAACGTTGTTTATATCTTAACTTTTACATTGAATCAGATAGTGTTTTTTTTAATTTAATGGAACACACTCCTTGAAGTTAAAAATTCCAGTGTTCAAAAGTGATAAATGACAGGTTTTAAAGTGTCAATCTCACTGATTGTAAAATCCCTACAACTGAGTATTTTTAGTCATAAATAAAGAAAAAATTGTTAGCTAGCTATATTTACTCTTACCTTTAGAGGCCATGAAGATGTCTGAGTCACTTCTTCAAAGGCAGCCAGGTTAAAAGAAAAGGCTTTTCTTGTTGCAGCAAGGAGAAAAACACAGCATGCGTAAAACTTCAGAAGGTGTCTGTCTACTTCATGTCAGTTTACAAATAACAGAGGAAGGGAGTGCCTTACTGTTTCCAGAGTGATGTATTTTATCACTTTGGACGACAGGGGGAGACGAAGCTATCACCAAAGGTAAATGCTGCTCAAACTGTCCTATCTCTTGGTGGCTGAAGGAACAATTTAAAAATAATAAAAACAGGAAAAGAAAATACGCAATACTCATTTTAAGAGTCTTGTTTGCACATAGTTACTGTTTTTTTTAATTTCTTGGAATATATACCCTTGCATTGACTATTGCATCAGAAATTCTCTATTTTTCTAGTTTCTAGAAATCTTCTGTGCCTGAGTCTATGATACATTATTCTATCCTGTGTAAGTTTCTGACAGTTCTAAATACAATATTTTAAATTTTGAAGATGTTTCAACTTCAATATTATTTTTCTCTCAGGATTTCTTCATGTTCTTTCCCCCAAAAGCAAAGAAGCACAAGGAGAATTATTCCTTATTATTTATGTAATAAATAAATCTGTATTTTCATTTTTAATTGAATTTGATGAATCTGAGGCATTTGAAAATACAAACCTTCAATAACCTCACAAAGTTAATGGAAACATACAGGTGATACTTATACATTGTATACTGAGGGGGAAGAGAAAACATGGTCCCCTTGACTGGACAGCTCATCTTTCTAAATGCAGGTGACCAGATGACCATGGAGATTTTGCTCCCCAAGTCAATTGCCCTGGATGGCATGATTTGCAAAGGTTGAACTTGCAAGATATACTGAATTACAAGCAACACTGTCTACTTTTAAAAATAGTTAAGCGGCCTGATAAGCCATAGGGCATGACGAAAAATTATAAAGTCAGCCTCACAGGTTGTTGATAGCCAAAAGTTTATGTTCTTATTTGGCAAAGAGGTATTTATTTTTATTGTTGTTGTTGTTTTGAGGTATTTGGGCTTGAAGAACTGCCATTACCTGACTTGTCATTTTGCAGGAAAGGTGAATAAATATGATTAGTATTTTTTTAAGATTTATTTATTTATTTGAGAGGGGGGGTGCTCTCAAGCAGACTCTCCGCCGAGCAGCCAACAAGGGGCTAGGTCTCAAGACCCAGAGATCATGACCTGAGCCAAAATCAAGAGTTGGAGGCTTACCTGACTGAGCCACTCAGGTGCCCCAACATGATTAGTATTTTAATTAAATTATATGTTTCCTAGATTTCTTACCATTTGTCATGGGCATTTGAAGAAACTTTATTCCAAAGAAACTAAGTTGTTATTAACACTATCAAACCGGGTATTTTATTATTTATTTATTTATTTTTAAAGATTTTATTTATTTATTTGCCAGAGAGAGAGAGAGAGCACAAGCAGGGGGAGCAGCAGGCAGAGGGAGAGGCAAGCCTCCTGCTGAGCAGGGAGCCTGATGTGGGACTCGAACCCAGGACCCTGGGATCATGACCTGAGCCGAAGGCAGACGCTTAACCGACTGAGCCACCCAGGCATCCGGGTATTTTATTTTTTAAAAAAATTTTTAAGATTTTATATTTATTTGAGAGAGAGAGAGAGAGACACATAGCGAGAGAGGGAACACAAGTAGGGGAATGGGAGAGGGAGAAGCAGGCTTCCTGCTGAGCAGGAAGCCCGATGCGGGGCTCAATCCCAGAACCCTGGGATCATGACCTGAGCTGAAAGCAGACTAACCAACTGAGCCATCCAGGCGCCCCTCAAACCTGGTATTTTAAATTATGGTCATAATGGATGAATTAATTTTGATTTTCCACAGAGCACCAGTTTTGAAATGAAAATCTGAATGAATTAAACATGTATTTTGGCCCGTATAGGCCAACCATCCATGTATGTGGATATGGCCATATGACTAACTCATGGAATCTTTCACTATTTAACCTGCACGGGAGAACTTCCAGGCCACCTAACTTGGTGTAGTGTAGGAACTGCCCATTTCTTTCTTCACGCTTTCTCTCCCTGTCCTCTCAAAGACAGCACAGATATTGCTTTTTCTTTTCAAAGACCCAGCAGATGCCAACCTGAGGTTTCCTCTTCCCACCATTCCTTTCTGTTTCCCAGCCTTTCTCAAAGAGAGGCTCATAAACCATCCTGATGGACCTCTGGGACATTCATGGACAGTCCTATTGCCGAGTGCTCCGGCAGCCAGGTGGTGTTGCTCCAAGAGCTGGCTTCACCTCCTCTCCTGTTGCTGTTGCTGCTGTCATTTCAACTCCAGCTGCATGGCACCCTCAATCCCCCTTCCCCTCTCCTGGCACCTGCCACCTCGGCGGAAGCACCGGGACCTCCCATCAGCACGCAGAAGCCTCACACCTACCTCTCTGCTCCGTGTGCCATGAAGCCCTGGACTGTTTCAAGCAGCATCAAAACCAGTTTCCCATTGCCATCGGGCTACAGCTTTCTGGTCTGCTGGCTTGATGCCATGAAATATAGCCCATACAAGGCGGGTGTGTCCAACAGACATAACCCGGGGCTTGAAGACAACCCAGTGGGATCCGTACAAAAAAGGAGATTTAAAAATGAATATCAGAAGACATAAGTCAATGGGCCTGCCCCCTTGCAGGACACAGCCCTCTCCTGAGCCTCTGCTCTGTCGCTCTGCTGCTTGGGCATGCTCATTTTCTCAGGACGTTCTGCCTTGCCTGTCCTTGTCCCTTCTATAAGAAGGGCTCTATATCCACCCTCAACTTCAACTCCTGCCAAAAGGAAATGGAAAAAAACTGCATCATAATTTCATTACAATTGCCCCCTACCCATGGCCTTTCTGCAGGACATATCACAGCTCTTCCTGAAGATCTGTTTAATCAATATTAATCCTTGTGTATAAGTTTCCCCATTATTTAATTATTTAATAGTTAGATACTTGACTCAAATTCTCATGTTTGCAAAGGCTCACCAAAATAGTGTCTCCTAGTACAAAGGAAGAGACTGCAAATTATTTAAATCTATCTAGTGGCAGATAAGCTCCCTGTTATGACAAAAACAGCATTAGGCTTCAGAGAGAATCTGCTGGGAGAAGAATGGGGAAAGGAGTAAGATATAAGCCCACAGGTCTGGGGCAGGACCAAGGACCAAGTACTGAGAATAATTAGCTCTAGGAATATTTCATGGTTTTACTATAAAATTATGTGTTCCTAAAAATTAAATATATACATATATAAACATATACATATATAATCAAATATATATATATACACACACACACATATATATGGAATGAGAGGGAATTATTTGTTTTTATTAATTTATATAAATATTATTGAAGTATAATTCCAAAACACACTTTATTCACTTGAAATTATGTTTTCTAAAATTCATTGTAATGCATAAAATTACATTTGCTTTTAGCCACTCCCTGTTATTACTTTTTATGGGTATAATGGATGTGCATTTTATTATATTTTATATTTTTATACTTTTGGCCATTGTCTTTTTAATGGGAATTTACATTGTTTCCATCATATAAGGCAATGATTTTTATACACATGTATAGCAGTCTTTCGAAGGTGTATGTCAAGAAATGAAAATGCTGGGTTATGGAGTATGAAGATTCTCATTTTTACTAAGTACCATTGCAGAATTTACCAAGTACTAAGCATATACTAGGAAATTACTAAGTATCACTGAAGATCATTGGAGAATTGACCTCCTGTGTGCTTGTACCAATTTACATTCTCAACAGTAATGGGTAAGTGTTTCCATTTCTACCTCCCTCTTGCAACACTGGTGTGGTCAGTAGAGTGGGGAATTAGCTAGGGACTCCCAAATATTGATTTATAAGAAGGCAGCATATAGAAGTCTTCACTACATTATAACTAAGTAATGTAAACACTTTAGTATGTATTTATGTTTTCAGCTGTTCCTATCATACTGTATCATGTGAGAATAATTAATAGCAAATTTTATGAATAACTGGTTATAAAAATAACATTATTAATGTAAACTTGGAGAATGTTCCTTTCCTAGGAATGTGTGCCTCCTACTTCAGTTGCCACATTTTGCAAAATCTCTACCAAAGTGCATTTCTTTACTAACTTATTCAAATCTGTCCTTTTGATACAATGCTCTATTCATTCATTCAATAAACATGTATTAACATTTTACTATGTACATAGCATTATAGAGTATACTCAGATGTAATGAAATGGCCCCCACTCTGGGGGAATATGTACGCCAGTGGAGTGTCACATTATAGGATTGCAATATTCTTTTTATTTTTTAAAACTAAGAGTAAGTTACAATCTCCTGAAAACAAAATGATGTAACTCATCCTCTCTCTGCAAAGTGAAACTAATTGGAACCAGTAATGCATCATTCAAAAGAGCGGTTCCTTGTTTCATACACACATGTCTAATTTTCCTTTCCTCTGTTCCTTTAAAAAAGGAAAATAATAACTATTAAGATATTTCAACTTATATGAAATGATAGTAAACTGCCTCTTTTAAAAATTTTTTTATTGTTATGTTAATCACCATACATTACATCATTAGTTTTTGATGTAGTGTTCCATGATTCATTGTTTGTGCATAACACCCAGTGCTCCACGCAGAACGTGCCCTCTTTAAAACCCATCATCAGGCTAACCCATCCCCCCACCCCCCTCCCCTCTAGAACCCTCAGTTTGTTTTTCAGAGTCCATCGTCTCTCATGGATAGTAAACTGCCTCTTAGCTATTAATAAAAGATGGATTTCTTACCCACTCTCACTCTGCATACTTAGAAAGGTATTGATCCAAAGGATTAGGAAAAAAGGAAAAGAATCCTGGTTATAGAGAAGAATCTGTGAAACTAAGATAAAGCTGGTTCTGGAGCAAATCTAGAGGGGTCCCCATTCACCAAGATGACATGGAAAAGACTCCTAATTTAGAGTCCTGTGCACAGACTC